AGCTGCTATGAAGAAAATTAACTCCATCCCAGCCAAAACCAGTACCGTGTCTAACTTTAATTAGCTCTTTACAACAATACAATCTTCTAGAAAGCTCACTCTCAAGAATCATTCAATAGTGTGAGAATGTTGTTTAAATATTCTAGGATGACTAATGAAATGCTGAAATGTTTCCATTATAGGTAACCTGTTGTAGCATCAAAAAACCTTCGGTCGGTTGCATATAAACTATCTCGCTGTTCACAGACTAAGAGTGTAATGTCTGTATCAAGAGAGCAAGCATTTACAACTTGATATCTCACAAGCAAGTTGTGATGTCAGGCATTTAAAGAAAAACAAAGAGAAGAATTAAGCTAGGGAGAAGTCATCAGCATCTTCCACTGCAGAACTTACAAACATTGGTGTCTTAATGCTGGAAGGCTTCATGATGCCTGTGGAAGAAATCTTTCAATACAAAAATCTTTGATACCTTTGGATTCTGTTTAAACCAGGCAGTTTTTCTTGGTGGGTGGATAGAAAGTGGCCCAGTTTATGGCTACATTCCTCCCTGTCCCTAAGCAGAATATCTTTACTTTCCAGGCTATTCTCTGAAATGCATATAACTTACAAAGTTTCTCATTTTGAGATAAAAAATCATGTATATGCTGAACTGGTGGCTTGTCTAAGGAGACATCCTTTCATTAAAAGAAAGAAAGTCTCAGCTGTGTTCACCAAGTAGCCCCTAACATAATATGCTATTTTTAAGATGTGAACACCTTATAACTAAGGACCTCTTATCTGTATTTTATACAAAACAGTCTCCACCCCACAATCCAATATCTAGCTGTATTTCTGAGACATGACATAGTAGAATACCATAGAAAAATCAAATTAGAACTAATAAAAGGCACATGACAGCATCTATGTAGGCACACTGGGTGTTCTACAGCCACAGATCTTCTCTCCTTTGCCACTTGAGACTCCTCTATGATGACAGAAAGAAGAAACCTTCTAGAATTTCTTTACCCGGCCTGAGCATCTGAAAACTTTGTGCTGTATTTACTGTGGCTTTGAACTATGCAGGCAACACTCATTTGTAGCTGTAAGCAACCAGAAATGCAAGAGCATGGACATTTCTCTTTTTTTTCATAGTGTGGGTCAAGCATAAACTGAACTTGAAATGTTAGAAATCATGAAAGTATACATACACTCCCAATAGCCATGTATATTTATGAAGCAGTTAAAGTATATGCAAGGAACAATGACACTCTTGCTTTGCAGTAAAGGCAGAATGTTGGAATTTTTAATGTTTTTTAAATTTAAAGCACAGATAAAAGATTGTATTGGTTGAATTTAAAGTGAATATTGTACATGATATTAACAGCATCCTCAAGGCACTTTTACTAGGTAAAGGTTCTCTGGTGACAGATATTAAAGCCTTGACTGTTCTCCTTCCTAAAACATTTTATTATATTTTGTTTTTAGAAATCAGAAACCTCAAAATCAATTTTTGAATAACATTTCAGAGAAATCTGATTTGCATAAAGAGGAAATATTAACTTTGCTAATTTGTATTTTTTTTTCCCCCTACTCAATGTCTTGTTTATGTAGCTTCTTAATATAGTATAGGTAGTACGGTAATAGTGAGGATACAAATGATGCCCATTTTGTTCTTGAGTATGTGTTTATTATATATGACTATGCAAACATTAGAAATGTATAGAAAACTACTGAATGCCATCTGAGAGGTACAGGTTCCCATGTGAAACATCAAAAACTAGCTTGGATGCAAATGTGAAAAAACGGATAATAATCCAGTTGTTTTGCTTCAACACAAACAAAATAGGCATATAATGTTTCAGGTCTGGATATGATTTCATTTAGACTGAACTTTCCATCTTCCTGTTGACTACCAAAGTCAAGGGCCACTGTGACTTCAGGATTTCAGGGTATTTTGCCAGTGCCAGAATCAGAGAGGGTCTGACCTGTTTCAGAGGAATTTAGGCCTTTCTGTTCCAAGTGTAAATGGCAGCTGGCTTGCTACCCACAGAGAGAGTTGAAAACATATGTCTATCTAGGGCGCGTATCCTGCCATTAGTTATTTAGCAGATTGGACTTCTGCTAACTATTTCCCTACAAATCACTATAGCCTTAGACTTTGCTGAATCCTTTTGCCTCAAAAGTCAGAAAATCTTTCCCTTGGACTGTAACAGAACAGAATATATGATTCATGTATTTGCGTGACAATTCCCAAAGAGCAAGCCAGATCCAGACATAATTGTTGAGGAGTATGCTGCAGACGAGACATGGAGGCTACGTGAATAAGCTCATCGAGACTTGTCCTGCTCTAGACAGGGGGTGTGTGTGGGGGTGTGTGTGTGTGTATATATATATATATAAAAAATCCCCCCCCCCCCAATTGCTTTGAAGTGGCAGTGTCTCCAATGTGTGCAAGGGAAAATGAGAAAAAGGCAGTTTTCAGATCAGGAAGGGAGCTAATTTGGTGAGGCACAGATGCCAAGAAAGGATGGAATACTCGTTTTGGAAGTTGCTCTTCTGATATCTGATTTTGGTTGGAAGGGACCTCTGGAAGTCATCTAGTATGACCCTCTCCCCAAAGCAGGGCTAACTTGAAACTTAGATCAGGTTGCTTAGCTCCTTGTCCAGTTCAAAGAATGGCCTAATGCAGTTCCTTCTGTCACTTCAGAGTATAGCTCATTCCTGGTGCAGCCACCGACTGCTGAACACGTATAACTCTACTCATTTCCATTTTTCTGCCTGTTTGTGTGACACACATATGCAATTAAGGTATGTACAGTCCTTTGATACTTGAATCATCTCGGTTTAATCTAAAGACTCTTGTGGCAGTTGTACTTATATTGAGACAACTTCACACAGTGTCTCGCTTCTCTGTTTATCTTGGGCCAAAAGAATACCATGAATTCCCAAACTTTCAGTGATGGTCTTACAAATAACATTATTCTGTTGGGGCAGCAACATTATTCTCCATCTTCTGACTTGTTCCTTCTAACACTAGATGCTTTCCTGGTCTTCCAGGTGTTGCTAGCTGCTAGTGAAATAAATATGTAAACAAATATTAAGGTGACTTAGGAAAATATTTTTTCTTCCATCTCTAAAAACACTTTTCATACATGCTTTGAATGCCTGAATCTTTTGAAAGTGGTAGTGCTAGAATATGGAGGGATTCTTCATTTCTGAATTATGATTGTTTGAATTAGCTATAATCTTCTCAGTATAACCACTCAGAGCTTCTGGTTGTTTGGCATAAAGGCCATTGCAAATAGTTAGCGAATAATAAATATCTGCCATACGCTGCAGCAAGAGATGAAGTTTCCCAGATGAGAATTCATCAACATAACAATACAGAACATTGCCGATTATGGCTGAAATACTTCCCACCTCCTGTCCCTGGGCCAGGCTGTTCCTGACCTTTACACAGGTCCACAGATGTCATGAGAAATTATGAAGCACTTCCTCTTTACTCCCTGCACGTAGTCCACAGGAGGGCCCAGCACAGCTGAAGTGCCTCCTGGAATCCCTTCCGATGTTAATGGGAGTTTCATCATTGACTTCAAATGAGCTTGGACTTCATATCCACTGTTTCTTCTCCTCTAATAATATTGCCAAATTACCTTCTCACTCTGCCCTCTCTCCTTCCACACTAATCTCACACTGGTGTTTCCCTGGACGTGCTCTACTCTTTCACCCAGACCTTCCAGCAAGGAGGCTTTTGAAGATGTTCAATACTTACCAGAGATTTCCGAGTGCATGACAGTACAGGGATAGCTGCTGTACAACATGCTTCACACACATGGTGGGTTTGATGCTTCGCAAATTCATGTATGCTGTATCACAATGCTCAGTAAGTCCCATATGTTACAAATGCCTCTATATGTAAAACAGCAGTAAGACTGATGTTTAAAATCCATTTGGGACCCTTCAGACTGTATATTGGTAACAGCCTCTGAGGAATAACATGCTGCTCCCCACAAAAAAGCACACGGGGAGGTATCGTAGCAAGAAGCCATAAAAACCTCAAGGGTCTAAAGGTGCTCTAAAGGTACCTTCCTTTTCAGAAGGACTATTTAATTCCACGTAGGTGCTTCAGTTTGTGAAAACCCAGCTAGCAAGCAAGGTTCTGTTTTTCTCGCGCTCTGATTCACGAGCAAGATTTGAATCCTGTTAACAGCAGATACAGCCACCACAGTCAGAATAATAAATAAATCGGTTGAATTTCATTTATTGGAGCTCAGAAAAATGCCTCGTTAAGAGTTTTTAAGCCCGTGCGTCCCCTCAGGCTCTTCCTCCCCCCCCCCCCCCCGGGGGCC